ATGTTAGACAGTAGAACGAACTATCCCTAAAATTGTAGCTGCTCATTGTGTATACCACATGAGGCCAGTCTGGTTTAAAGCTAGGCTCCGGAAGAACTGATTTTTCTTAGACATAAACTCAGGAACGGTTTAAGGTACAAATTTCTGAATATTTAAAAAATTGGGGGAAAAAAGGTGGAAAAAATGGTGGTTACTCCCCTTTCAACCCCACCCATTTTTAAAGATTAAAAAAATCTGTATCTCATTAACTGTTACTAAGTTATTTTGTCAAATATTCTAAATTGTATGGCTGATAAAAAAAAATCAGTTCTACAACATATTAAACAAACATTTTCCTCTAGAGCCGAACTTTTTAAGTCTTTTTCAAAGGCGTGAATTTACAATCCAGTTATGGTTTAAAATAAAAGTATGTCAATGTTTTTATTTTTAAAATAAGTATAATTCATCTAGCATACCATATCATATAGCTATTGAGAAAAAACGCATACAAATAATATTCTAGTGTAATAAGGGAATACTTATTGTTACATTATTAGTAATGTATTGAGAGGAAATGGGTCGTTAAAGGATTAATTGTTAATGGAGGGAAAGTGTGCTACTAGTGTAGACAAAATGCAAGATGTTTAACATACTATGCATTTACATTAAAAGCATAAGGCTTAGTGCCAGGTGGTGGTGGTGATGTAAGTGAAGATGATGATGATGATGATGATGATGATGATAATGATGATGATGAACAAATGAATTAATGCATGTACAATATTCATAACAATCCATCAACAAATGAATAGACTATTAGTACAGGATGGACGATACTTGGAGTATGTATTATACTATGAGGCGCCAAGTGTAAATTCATTATTTAACACAATTATTTATATATAATTCATTATTGAACATATATAACTGAATAGATCACCTACTATTTATATATAATGAATTTACATCTAAAAGATTAATTATATGTTTAAGAAGTAGATTTGGAGCTCAGGTTAAGAAAAGCACCCTAGATTCAGATGAGAACGATTATGAATTAAAGTCAGGAGAAAAAAAAAACCTTAGATATAGGTGATGGACAACTGTCATTAATTTAAATAAGGAGAAAATATTACTCAAACGAGGGGTAAACAGCCTGATTCATGTATGAATACTGTAGGCCTACCTATAGATTGAGTTGAAGGGAATGTATTATATAGTATGAATGGGGAACCCCTGTGATTCTGGGGAAGGGAACCAGCTATAATTCAGATGACAACATCTGATAATTTAGACAAGAGATACAGTACACCTTTGATCCAGGTGATTCAGGTGTAGGATCACCTGTGATTTATGTAATCATGGGGAGAATAGGCCTACTTGATGTAGAAAGATTTGTGAGAGGCATATTTCAGGTCAATACAAATGATGAGACATTCTAGCGACAGAAAACACCTGTGATTATTCATATTGATGTAAACGCCTGCGATTCAAATATCAGAAGCACCTGTAATTCAGGTATAAAGAACTAATTATGAGAATAAATGCACAATACATTTACTATTTAAAATTTACATTTGACTGTATTTCTACTGTATAAAGTAATTTTCATCAAAATTTAAGATCAAGTTCAAGAAAAATGTGGATTTGATTTAATATTAAATTGATGAGTTTGCAAGCTGACAATGTGGACAATGTGTTCTGCAACACAAACGTAGAAAGCACAAAATGTTATTTTAAAACCATCAATAAGGCCCATAAAAAAAATAGTAGTTTATCACCTAGTCCGTCATCACTTTTGGGAAAAATCTGATTTTTAAAAAATTTTTTAATCAAAATATATTTTCATTTCAACAGTCCTTTTCCAATCTTTTTCCACTTGAAAAGCTCATTGTGTCTTGCAAGTATGTTTACTGGTACAACAAAAACATATTTTTTAAAATATAAATTTGATTCCATTCTTATGACTTTTTATATGTGTCTCTAACCATTTATTTACTTGTGATCATTGGTAAAATGGGGGCATTATTAGCAAAAAAAAAAAAAAACCTCCCTCCCTCATCAGTTTTTATTCTTTGATAAGGGTGATAAACTAATAAAAAATTGTTTTATGGGGCCTAACAGTAAATTATATTTCTAACTGTCATAAATTAATTATATTTACTAATCTTTGAGGTTTTGTACTAAACATGCAAGAAGCAGTATGCTGTACTGCATGTTAAGAACTGTAATCTAAGATCTGCCTGCCGCTGCTATTGTCAGGCTCAAGATATTAAGAGCATTCAGTACTCTCTTCTCCTTGTTTCTCACTTTCTGTAAACACAGCAGTACTGTCCTGTATCATGCTGCATAATTAAGCAGTGAGGCTCAATCCTTCCATTATCATTTAACATTTGCTTCCTTCGAATATTGAATAATTTACTATAATTATTCAACATTATTTAACAATAAAATAAATTCAAATCACATGGGTAAATTTCTATACAACAAAGCAAGGGGAAGATTTTATAGAATTTTTCTATTCTATTATGGAATCATTCATTTTTCATTCATCATCATTTTTAAGAATATACAAAAAAATGTTTGTTCCTGTAACCATGGTGTATACTGTAACCCTATCTTCCACATGAAAAATTACACAAAAATTAGAAATGACAAAATGAAATGTTGATTGTTTTTATAATATAACTTCCTTTTCTTCATTAGCATGCAAAGGCGTACTGTTAACCCATCCCCCCAGGCATATATTTTGTACTCATATAAAAAATGTGAGGCCCTTATATCATTTAAAATTAGAAAAAATGCGCAATTTTGTGAAAAAAAAATACTAAAATGTTTTCTTCCTGATTTAAAAACTGAATGTTTAAAATAACTTGAGTCAAACTACACGCAGAAAGCTTTGAAGCTGGGTTTCTAATAAGAAATTCAGAGTTTTGCAAATTAGAATGGATTATATATGAAATTTGTATGGAATTGCAATACATTTTTTTTAGCCATAACAAACCTTACCTACTATTGTATACTTATCCAATAGCTACACATCTGGATTTCATCTTAATTTAGGGACCACCTCAACATTTCTGCATTTTCTCGCATTTTTTAACTCACCTATGAATTGCAAAGCATCTTTATCTAATAGTAATAGGCTTGCATAAATCTAAGGTCATTCAATATGGATTTCATTCCTAGACATTAAAAAATGCTATAAATCGAAGAAAAAATTAAACCTTTACAGGCACCTCTGTAACATTAATAAAATATATTGTTCTTTTTTCATGGATAGACTTATTTTTTAGTTTTTTTTTCTTGTGACATAATTCGCATTCCAATCCTAGTTCCTATCTTATAATTTATTCATGGTGAAGCTGAATAGCATTTAAAGCCCCATTCCCGGCAAAATTTCAGTTGTTAAAAAAATATGATTTTTTATATACAGTATGTTATACAAAGATTTATAAAAATAATACGAAATTGCTAGTTTAACTGAATTTAGACATTCCTGAACATTAAAAAATGTAAAATAGGACGGAAATTTTTTTTTTGTCCCACATTTTTTATGTCTGATTTTGCGATAGGTCTGCAAAGAAATATAATAGGCGCTGGAAACATTAGCCTATCAACACTGCTAGGCTAGGCTTAGCCGTACCTCAATTTAGGTTCTCTTGTCAGACGTAAAAACAGCCCACATGATATTTTTCCGTTGCTAGTATTGACACTTGTAAAATAAATTTCATTGGAATTATTTCAAATTTGTTAAAAATTGATTCAGACCGAGATTTTGACAATTGAACAAACATATATCTGGCCTACTCGATCGACCGCAGTGTGTGAGATGCGAATTACAAAAACTAAGCATTAGAGAGGGCGCACTTTATTGACTGTATAAAGTATACACAAAAGGTGACAGCATTCCAGCGGATGCGATCTACAACCTCTGAATTTACCTTGTAACAAAGAATTCGTTGAGAAAATGATAATCTCCTATGAGAAATAATCTCTATATCTTATTTTTTTTTATCCTTTTGCAAAAACTATAATTTCTGCCAATGGTTTTCCTTGGTTTATAATAAAATTAGACTAATGCATCTGCATTTTTCATTAAAAAAAAATCTTTTTTTATTGAAAGTTTGCTGGGAATGGGACTTTAAATAATATGCTTTTTTGATTGAAAATCTAATGTGCGGAGGAGTTTTATGCCAGAAAAATAGAAAATTTTTGCAAAATATTATTTGCTATATTTTTAAATGCAAGACTTATTTCCAGGACTAAATATTTGCTCTGAGTACATTTGCAGGTGTGGAGAATGTCAGCATCAAAACTGTTACTGCGAGAGCTGGCACCAATCTACAACAGACACAGATTACTTACATACAGTACAGCACAATAGGAAAAAATAATTGAATTCAATTATTTAGTATCAAATTTGATTAAATGAAATATCGGTAACCAAAAATAGAAGCTCAAAAGTAAAGAATGTATGTAAGTAAGGTGCATTACTTTTTGAGAAGATGGTAGCTTGGCCTAGGCCTAGCTTTGGCCTAGGAGGAGGTGAGGCTGGCCTGGTGTAAGTTTCCCCTTGAAAACAGAGTTTGTCATGTCATTTCACCTCGCCTGACAAGCAAAATCACAGCAAGGCTTGGCTTAGCCAAGAAATAATATTTTGCAAATATTTAGTCACCTACTCAATTATTATATATACAATTATAGCATCTGTAAATTAAAAAAAAAAAGAAATATATACACAGTATACAGCTATAGAAGAAAAAATGCATTTATGGAGACCAGTTCTGTTTCGGAATCTTTTTTAACAAATTAAAACACTGCACCCAACTCGCTCACCCCAACATTGAACATGCTTTTTTTGCAGACAGCAATAACCACGGCACACGTACATTTACTCCAAAAATTTATAAAGAAAATGGATTTCAAACTAATAGTCAGTCTAACAACAGAAAATTTATAAGTGTTCCAGTTAGACATTTGCATATAAAAATGAAATGATCTTAACAACAATATGAATTTACCTTCTAAAGCTGCAATCACTTTATGATCGCCATTCTTTTGTCGACTCGGAAGGTCAAAGTGTACCAGCAAGCAATTTCCGCTCGAATTAACACTTCTCTCTGTGTACAAAATAAAAGTCGTGCTGTACCGCGGAACTATACGAATTTTCTTTTTTACTACATAATTTAATCATAACTTGCCTCTATCATTCCGGCCCGGAGAAAGAAGCTTGTTTGTAGAATTACCTTTCTCATTTGCTATTAAATATACATACTACATAATATAGTTAGTTATAAGGCAGATGGATTGAGAAGATGCCTGTCAATGACGAGAAATAAAGAACAAAAACTGGAAAAAATAGGAGATGATTCTGAAGTTCAACAATAGGTGGCGCTGTCACGATGAATTATTTCTAAAAAAGAAGTGTCAGTGCGTGCCGCGGTAGTGATCAAGAAGAGGTGATTGTTTTGCATGTATTTGTGACCTAAGCTTAGGCCTAGCCTAAATTATTAAATGGTGAGTTTAATGTAGATAATGTCTTTCTACACTCCTTATAAATATTAACATGTAGCGCCAATGAGTTGATAAGGATACCAATTAGCACCACCGCATCAATTCCACCAGTCACTAAAAAACTAACACACCTGAGTGAGTGTGAGCACCCATCAATCATTCCTCTCTCAAATCATTATGATGGACATGGATGAAGTGGTTGTGGGTAGGGCTAGGCCTAGCCTTCAACTCAGAAATACTGTACCAAGTTTATGCAGATGGCAGGCGTAAGAATTGTGTTGGGATAAGTGTTGGGATAACCTACTTCTTACCTTTCCTTGTTGTAGTAACTTGTACACCTTGCTTGTGAATTACTAATACTACAGGTGAGACTGGTTGGAGGCCTAGCCCTAGGCCTAGTAAGTACTGTGTAGGCCTAGCTAGACCTAGGCTAACTACACAGCAGGCTAGAGTAGGCCTACTTACTAGACCCATACTTAGACTAGGCCCCTACTACTGTACTACTAGGCCTACTCTACTACTAGCCTGCTGTGTGAAGTATGTTTTCTCTTGCCCTGAAATTTGCACAGAGGATCATGCAGGCCTCTTTACAGCAGTACAGTAGCCTAGGCTTACATTACAGCTGGGATATTATTGTCAGGCTAGCTTCTACACCAGTCGAACCGCCTCAACACCTTGGATAAATTGTGTTAAATCATCTCAACAATTACATAATAGTATTTATTATAATAAGGCGAGACTTACAGTATTTACCTTGTTTAGCAAACCTGCTGCCTGCCAATAAGATTATTTCAAATAGAAATAAAATTTATTTTTGTCGAATTTGCGTACCTACCAACATGAAAAAATGGAAATTTCAGAAAAAATAAAAGTTTTTCTTTATTTGATGTGTATAAGAGACAGATATATATATATATATATATAAATTCAAATAGGGAAATGGGAAAAAACCCATAAAAACAGCAGATGGCCACATAATGCAAAACAATAATAAAATTAAAATGGAGCAGTAGAGAAAATCCGATCAAGAATGACAAAATAAAACAAGCATCCACTGGAGGAAATCCCAATATCTGCAGACGGATACATTTCGGACTTTTTTTTAAAATTAAAAATGGATGCATTACTCTAGTTATAAACCATGGAAAAATATTGGCAAATTTCAGTGTTATTTTAAAATTTTTTTTTCATGTTTAGGAATGTCTGAATTCAGTTAAACAGTTAGCAATTTCGTATTATATTTATAAATCTTTATAACATATAAAAATCAGATTTTTTTTTTAACAACTGAAATTTTTCCAGGAATGGGGCTTTAAGTTTCATTAACATCCGCATTTTTTGGCTCTTATTTTTCCTTCCTAGAAGTTTTTTTTTCTCTTGTACAGTAGTATACTTTGTGCATGATTTATGGTTGTATAAATTAATTTTATTTACTTACTATTACTGGTAAGGTTTGTAATTTGTAAATGTGCAGAGGATATCTCAAAATGAGCTCAAATATGCATTCTCCCTTGTGTATAAAAAAATGGAGGAAAATATTTATGTCAAAAGATACAGGAAGCAATTGATGGAGATTTTATTGTGCAACTTCTGGTAACAGTTCTAAGTAGTCTGCTGCCCTCTTCCATGCTAAAATCAGCAGACTCTAAAAATTATGTATAGTACTGTATTTTGAAGAAAATTTAGGGTTTTTTTTTGCTTCCTTTATTTAGCAAATGTACTGTATGTCCTGACTTAAAAGTACTGAGCTTCGCATTGTATTTAAGGTATGCCTGTGGGTAGCTTGTTAGCTACTCATGTTAAACAAGTTTGTAGCTACTACCCGGTAAATAAACAACAAGTCATTATAAATTTGTGTACACACGCAACCACTGGTATCTGAGTACATTCTCTTGCGCTGCTCTAAAGATGTGGAATGACCTTTGACAAACTGGACGGTCTGTGGGACCCCTTTTGCTTTTTAAATCCCGCCTTAAAGATTATATATTTGAGGCCCACTTGAAGTACTGTAATTCTCTATTATTAATCTTCTTGCTTTTTCTCCGTGACTTGAGACAGTGCCATGAGCACATTTGTGGATATGGCGCTATGTGAAATTTTGATTTCTTCGGTGTTCACACCAAGGATAACCCACGAAAGTCTAAAGAAGAATTATTTCCAGTGGGGTCCTTCTGGTGGTGATTGGGCAATACACCAGGAGACAATCCCCTACTCTTTTCCGTAGAGTGTACTGCGTTCTTTAACGTGCACATGGGCCATAATGCACACGTGACCAACAACTTAAACGTCTCATCCGAAAGACAGTGTGCTATTGTAACTTGCAGCAATATGAATTGAACTGGGGAACAAGATATTTCTACAGTTTAGCGCACATACAGTGGCTACAATACCTCCAGTTTAGCCGACTGAGCTAAGCTGCTCTCGCTGACTTTATTATTATTATTATTATTATTATTATTATTATTATTATTATTATTATTATTATTATAACATTATTTTGTTTTATTTTTCTCCCAGCCAGTTGAGCCCTCTCATCTATTCTTGGTGATTTGCATCAAATTTTAGTTGAATATAACTACTACTTGTTGTGTAGAGTCATAATAATGTATGATTCTAGAATTTTTAGCACGAATCCGCATGAATTTCTTTAAAATAATTTTCACTAAAACATATATTTCCTAATTAATTGTCATATTAATTTCTGTACTAAGTTAAATATGTGGATAATATTTGTTGGTCTCTATGTGTGCTAGTTACCCCATCACTATTTCAGATACAGTACTGTACTATCTAGGAATATATTTCATATAAAGTAATGCTGTATCTATCCTAGGACTATTCAATTATAGCTCCCTCTATAGTTTATTAGTAACATTACTACTATTTTGCATTTCTCTCAGTGTAAGATCCTTAATGGATGTACCATGTAACAACTTTAGCCTCCAATGACCATTTAAATTCGGCACAAAAATATCACAAATCAGGGGAATGGCCAGAGGGGTACTAAGGGGACACCATGTGCTAAGAGTCCACCACAAGATGTGGATGTATCCTCTAAACCTCCTGGCTAAGTAAACATACAATAAATTACAAAGACGATACATCATATTAAAATAGCCTAAAAAGATTGGTAAGTACAAACAAGTTAAACATTTTTTTAGTATCTCCTACCACTGGCCAAAAAATCCTTCCAAATGCTCAACTCGCCTCCAAGCCTTTCCAGCGGGATTTGACTTGAGTCACCGGAAAAATTTTCTTGCCAAGCAGATGTTTCTTTGCATCAAGATGCTAGCAATACATCTGCCGCTGTGGAAGCAACTGTTGTCTTTGATATAATCACTCGGATTATAAAATTAATATTGAATTTAACATTCTTAATTGGAAGTTTAAGAGAAGAGAAGATAAACATGATATTTTGAAATGTTAAGAGTTTTAAGACCATGTTCTTGAATTTTATAATTTATGTTAGAAGATTTAATGTACTTTAAAACGCACAGGATGTTTAAAAACCCCATTCAGGTCGATTAACTTGGCACAGCTGGGATGTAGTTTTAGTGGGCGGAGGTCGTATTTGGCAGGGCCACTTAACCCAGCCCTGAAGTTTTCCACCCGGTCTAAAGCTAATTTCTTGGCCTTCTACCCACCTTTCCTAACCCCTTTGCCCATCCTTAAAATCCACTCTATTGTTTATTAATATTATTATCATCCACCCACCTTTAAAATGTCTACTACCCTGTCTATGTGACATAGTGCAAGGCTATTTTTTAAAAGTTGAAAATATATTTTAATTAATATTTTTTATTTTCACTGCAGAAAGCAATAAAGAATATTTACTAAATTAATTTTATTAATTAATCAGCCTCATTAGGGCAGTATAATAGAGGCAGTAGATCTAAAAACGATCTATTAATCAGTCAACTATTAATTAATCAGCCTCATGAGGGCAGTATAATAGAGGCAGTAGATCTAAAACAGATCTATTTATCATATTAATCAATCAGCCAAGTTTCTAGAGCTCCTCATCGCAGCTAATAATGTCTGAAGATGATGACTTGTTTCTTGCTGAATCTTAGTCACCTAAAAAAATCTGGCGTTGATGGTGCTTCCCAGCTGTCTCATAATTCATCATAATGATAATAATATTTTCCAGAGTTTCCTGAATGGCAAAATCTATCGGGACATGATCCCCATATTTCATGTGGGACCTGGCCCTTTAACAACCTGGACCCCACCCTTTAAAAAACATTTCTGATTAATATGAATAATAATGTAACTAAGATTGTTCACATCTTTGTCTGCTAAAGGCTGGTGAATTACTGCGAATCTTATCATAACATGAACATCTTTTGATTTTTCATTCATGGATATTATGGTATGTAGTAAATGTTTTAAAGGATTATAAATACAGAAGATGTAGGCTACTGTATGCAGTTCTAACCAAGTTTGAGTTGCTTCTGCCGGTGAAATTTATTTTTTCGTTGGATATTATTTTTGTGACTGATGTTAATTCAGAAGATTCTACCGGTGATATGGTAAAACAATGATTCATATTTTTTTCCACATCTTTTGAATGATTATTTTTGTTGACATATCTTAGTTACATAGAACCATATATGGCCTTGGATTGAATTTGATTTCTTTGGCGTGATAGGCACTAACGATAACCCACGAATGTTCTGAGACTTATTTCCAGGGGTTTCATTAGTAGCCGGCAGCTGGCAACTTCGACTGGTTACTTCGGCTCTTTGCCGGCTACTTTTATTTCCAACTGGGGGATATGCCCTCCCTGAATCCACATCCTCCCCAGGAACTCGCCTGTAAATCTTACTCATTCTTCTCCTAACTGTAAACTTTAATGAATCCCCTGCAGTAGGGTCCTTCGGGGGGGAAATTGGGATGTACATCGGGAGGACAATCCCCTACTGTTTTCTGAAGTGTGTACTGTACTGTGTTCTTAACATGCACATACTATAGGCCGTTTTGCACAGGGGACCAACGGCTAA